CACGCCCCTGCATCCGGCCACAGGGAATCCTTATCTTTTGGCGGGCGAGAGCGTCAACCTTTCTTTAGAGGTCGGCTCGAATCCGTAAACATAAAACCCTCGACGCCCCGACCTCCCTAGAATTCTTTTTTGATCATCCTACACATATTCATTTGATTGCTTGATACATTTGTATCTCGTTTCGTATTTCCTCACTCGCAATCCACCTTATCCCCGTATCACAACCACATTCACAATGGTTCGTCATTATCAACAAGATTCGATGTCATGAAGTCAACTAACAATATGTACAGGCTACTCCTATTACCTCAAGGACGGAGACTCTCCAGAAGTATCTCAAGCTTGATCAGAAGGGTATGATCATGGCTGAGTACGTCTGGGTTGATGCCGATGGTGGCACTCGTTCCAAGTCTCGCGTAAGTCCATACCGATTCTATCTCCCGGACCCACTTTTGCTCTTCCGATCCGAAACGACGAGGCCGGCCGATCGCCGACCTCAATCAAGCGGCATTGTTTTGAGCCTCGGAAGCGGTGTCGCGTCTGCCTCGTGGAATGATCCTTAAACTTGCGATTAAGCTTGTTTTCCACGATGCGGGGAAGCGTGGCTCGATCTCTTAGGCCCACGCTTTCGATACCAGAGGGAAGGAGCAAGGGAACAGAAGCGACGTAAAATTTGAACATCAACTTACAAAGTCACAGACATTGCCCGAGAAGGAATACAAGCCCGAGGATCTTCCCGTCTGGAACTTCGATGGTTCTTCCACTAACCAGGCCCCTGGTGACAACTCCGATGTCTACCTCCGTCCCTGCGCCGTCTACCCCGATCCCTTCCGCGGCTCTCCCAACATCATTGTTCTTGCTGAGTGCTGGAACGCCGATGGCACTCCCAATAAATATAACTTCCGTCACGATTGCGTGAAGGTCATGGACACCTACGCCGACGACGAGCCTTGGTTTGGTCTCGAGCAGGAGTATACCCTCCTGGGCTCTGACAACCGACCCTATGGCTGGCCCGCCGGTGGTTTCCCTGCTCCGTAAGTCAATCCCTACAGTCTTTTCGCATTGACTAACGATTTCATAGCCAAGGCGAGTACTACTGTGGTGTGGGCACTGGAAAGGTTGTCCAGCGCGATATCGTCGAGGCCCATTATAAAGCCTGTTTGTGTAAGTTAAATCCTCGGAAACTTGGTATCAAACTTTAAAAGTTTCGATACTATAGCTGTTATCTGATCAATGCTTCTCGGTCATATCTAACTCGTTTCCAGACGCCGGCATCCAGATCTCTGGAACGAACGCCGAGGTCATGCCTGCTCAGTGGGAATATCAGGTCGGCCCCTGCACTGGCATTGCTAGTAAGTCCATGGAGACCCCGCTTAAACCTCGGGATTCCCCACAAATCGCAAGATCTCCGCTAACCACCAAACTCTTCAGTGGGCGACCAACTCTGGATTTCGCGATTCTTTTTACATCGAGTCGCCGAGGAATTCGGTGCAAAGGTTTCTTTGCATCCCAAACCCATTGCAGGCGATTGGAACGGAGCTTTAAGTTTCCCTGGTCTTTGTTTCATATCCGCGATACTAATATCTTTACAGGGTCTGCACTCCAACTTCTCCACGAAAGCAATGCGCGAGGAGGGTGGTATGAAGGTTATTGAGGAGGCTCTGAAGAAGCTTGAACCTCACCACGTCGAGTGTATCGCAGAGTATGGCGAGGATAACGAATTGCGTTTGACCGGCCGTCACGAGACGGGATCCATCGACAGCTTTTCTTGGGGCGTCGCCAACCGTGGCACAAGCATCCGCGTGCCACGCGAAACGGCCGCTAAGGGCTACGGCTACTTTGAGGACCGTCGTCCTGCTTCTAACGCCGATCCCTACCGCGTTACCAAGGTTCTCCTCCAATTTTCTATGGCTTAGAGCGAGTTTTAGAGTTTTTGCTTTCTGATGACATGGTCTACGGCGTGAAGGTTTGGGAAACTATTGATTACATAGAAAGCATGAAAGCTTGTCCTGAAGGACAGTAATGACAACCAATCAGTAAAATATTTCTTCAATTCTACTAATGCGATTACTGCGAAACAAACAATATGGCTGATATGTCGTTCAAATTAAGCTTATTTTAAGACCGTGGGGAAAGGTCACGTGATACCCTCATTTTGTTAATCGCCCGCACCCGATCGATATCCGACATCTCTAACTGCTGGAAGGTGCTTTCCATGAACATATGTATTCGGTAGTCCAGCGGTATATCACCAGTGTTGCAGTAGCTCGACTTGGCGCCAGCTACCTAGTTATTGCTTATTTGCCGCTGTTGCGTTGGAGACGCCGGCTGACTGTGGAGGTTATCCTTTGGCTAATTTAGTGAGCAATTGTTTTAGACTTTCTTTCCTTCAACAATATTATGTGTTGGTCTGGGGTATCATACTGACAAGCAGAGGCCATCTGATACTAACTGAATCATATCCCAAGGTACAATTCGGACAACGAAAGAGAGCACCACTGGAACACTCTATCTGCATAATGTCTTCACGAAGCCAATATTCTTAATATTTCATTGTATAGCGTTATTCCCATCAACAACACAATGATCTTTCTGAACACTCTCTTAGTGGCAAGTGGGACCACGCCAAAACCCAATTCACGGAGCAGGAAGGGACAATGGACTGGTAAGGAAGGAATAAAAAACAAGAATCATCAAAGATAAACAGCAGCAACGGTGAATGACTCTTAAAATTAGCCACAATTTCAATGATAAGTTGAGCCTGTTGCCATCTTGACCAGCACTCAAATCCCTTTCCGACAATCATTTATCCCACGTTTCGTGCAAAGAACAAAACATGATACCGAGAAGAAGAAAAAAAGGGCAGGAAGGATCGGGCGTCGAGGGCTCGGGTCACGCTTGCAAATTCTGCCGCGAAACGTCATCAACACCAACGTACCTTCTCTCGGCCATAACCATGGAATAATTTCAACCCAAACCTTTCATCATCTCCAGTTCAACTCTCATTGCCCTAGTCAACCATGATATTTCAATCGCTTAATTGCAACGTCTCACAAAGTGTCCTCCCAAACATCATTCGTGGCCATCGAAAACACGGACCTTGCCGTGGACATTATAGATCGAGCGGTTGTCTGAAGAGTTGGGGCGATGAAAATAGCAGGCAAGTTTGGTGCTCGGCATAGCCTCCATGGTGATTCATTCCTGACCATACAACTTGGTCACGATAGAATCGTGAATAGAACCACACACGATCACGGGCGGCCAGTTGACAGTAAGATTGCTACCATCTTTTTGGAACCAACAACCTAGACGAGTGACATGCACGTCAAAACTTCAAATTTGTGACAGTCATGCCAGGCCATGATGAGGAACAATGCCCCTCGGAAAATGTAAGTGCTGCACAACGCAGAAACTATGGTCTAATTCTGGCACTTACTGGCATCAAACATGCATGGGCCCAAGGATCAAGCTCCCCTTTCCAACACCAGCTTTTACAACTCGGTATGGCCGCATATCTTCCTTCAACTACGCAGTCTACTCAGAAGCGTTGAATTGAATGCTGGGCGAGTATAGAGGCGAGTCGAGTCACCTCCCCAACCCGACCAACCGTGCAAATCAGACTCAACTGATACAGACGCTTCCAGATGCAACTGCTCTATATTGGCCCGCAGAGTGCTCCAGCTACGGCACCCTCATCTGGCAATCCCCAATTCCTCGACCGCGGTTTGGGTGTTGCAACCAAACACTGCAGACACCCTCGATTGCTGCACCATATATCAAGCTCGGCACCATGAACATCAGAACCCGCCGACTGTTAGATAAGTTTTAAACTGCTTGTATTTTCACTAATAAACAAGATTCTCGCCATAGGGCTGCTGAGGTACACTGGAATGTTCATGTTTGAAAACAGACTGGATGAGAAACAGACCATGCCACCATGAGCACTACTGCCAAGGCCCAGAATACCTGCCCCTGGGACACCTGTATCACTGGCATCGTGGAATATCACCGATAACAAAGCTATGTCAGTCGATTGCTTTCTCAATTTGTGGCCCGTGTCAACGACGATGCTCGTCCAGTTTAACGTCATAAAGGCGTGAGATGTGAGAAAGGCCAGTTGCGTCACCCCGTTCACAGCTCAAGGTACTAATCAATATGTCATGCGTCCTGCAGGCATAATATCTAGCAATTGGGCCGCCGCGAGGCACATCTCGATATTGCCATCTACATGATTCGCACAGAAGAATACGCATCTTGCCGAGCATGTTCTTGTCGTGTAACAAGCTGTCATCACGCTAGATGACACAAGAAGGAGCATATGGATCCCATGCTGCCAGATCTATCGCTACCTTGGTTGACTCTATACACCGGCTCGGCTACTGACGTTTATCGCTTTTTTTTTGTACCTTCGTTTGTCGTCAAACTTGTGCGAGTCTTGAACATCTTATTTGGCCACCGACTCAGGGTCCATCTGTGCAAGATCCGGTGCCGAACACGGCAGCAGAAGAGAGCGACACTCCAACGTTCCACATAAGGATGAATCGTGCCACAAGTCTAAGTGCAGCAAGAGAGCGCTTCAGAGAGGCTCAGGTATTGCTGGCCCCTTGGCCATTCAATCACCAAACACTGATGGCAGCCACGCGTATTGAGTTCGATCAAGTTGTGGGGCAGTGTGAGGCAAGTCCTTGGCGTCAGGAAAGACAATAGTAGCTGCCCTACTATTGTCTTTAGCATCAAGTCATTTATGCCAAAGACAATAAGATCTCGGTACTCTGCACTTATTTATAATTAGCTCTCTTAATTATGCCCCCCCCAAAAAAACCCATTGGAATTGTTTCTGAATCGGTTCCCCACTATTTTGAAAGTGTTTCCTCCTCGCTCTCTCATGGAAGCAATTCGCCAGGTTTCTCATTTTCATTTTTCACCACCATACAAATCAGTCAGGAACCACTTCCTCATCCCTTTCAATCTTTCACGGAACCAGTCTGAAGCTGATTCCAATGGGTTATAAAAATCACCCCGCCTATCAGGCATATCTCAATGGTGGAGTGCGACCAGATCCTCGGCTCCTACCTCGCGTTCAGCAAAACACCGACGGCCAATACTTTATTAACCCAGGCGAACGGTATTGTCGATGGGTCGAGCCAGATGGCATGATTTGCTCTCAGGTAAGCAAAGAATCATTTTGAAACCAATTTGGAACTATTTGCTAATACCTTTAGGACAAACTTTTTCTAAGTCCGAGTAATCTGCGAAACCACTACTTCAGGGTGCACGAAAAGGTCCTTGAGAAAAGGCAAGACGGCAGGAACAAAGGCATGACCGAGGATGACCTTGTTCGTAAGTTGGAAATAGTTCTGATTGAGTTCTGAATTACTTCTAATCTGGTCTCAGGCTGGTACTCAGCTCTTACGGCAAACATTGCGCACGACTGGTCGCCACGAAAAGCCAAGGAACGTGGCAAGTCCCCGCCGCCGCAACCGAAGCCCTCGTTGCTTAGCCTCATGGGAGGAGAACCTACTCCGCTGTATGGGCCTGGTTCAGACCCAGTACCAGAGGTAAATAGGACTGGAATCAATTCAAAAGCAAATTCTAATTATTTCTCACAGGAAGATTCCGATGACGGCCCCCCCAACGACTCTCCCACCGCTCTCCGAAGTCAGCGCGCCAACCACAGCAGTGAAGCCCGTGAACCGACCGAGGGCGATGATAGCCACATAGTTGTATGTTTGGAATCAATCCGAATCTGATTCTGAAATGCTAATCATTTCAGCCTGAGTCTGATTCACCCGGTCCCTCGAACAGGTCCAAACGCCCTGCCCACATTTTGCCTCATATGCACACTCAAAAATCGGCTTCATACAAATTACCGACAGTTATGTCATCGCAGAACATTGTTTCATCTCCAAGCGGTATACCTTTCAGCTTGGCCATTGAGTTCTGGTCAATGCTCCCTCATCAATCAAGGCTTCTTCTCATATCTTCTACCACAGACGGAATTATTACATATATTAGGAAACAAAACTTATACACTTTAAAAACATTCCTTGAACACTATTAGGTTGTAGTTGCTTCTGCCTTGCACCGTGAATGCATGGTCTTGACTTTTGTTCAAGTACTGAAATTAGCTCTTTATACTCTCGACTAAGGCTATGCGGTGCTGGGTCCTATTCAACTCTCTGGCCAGCCCATAGTAGATCCCCGTGATGACTATTTCCGTGGCCCAAAAGTTGCCGAGATTCGGGGCCGATATCATCTTGTTGATATCTCAGAGCAACAAAGAAACCATTATCAGCATTACCACTAATTCATTCTTCACATGCAACACATATAGTCCCATATTTCGAATTTCACTGGTCATCGAATTCCGGTCAATTCCTTTACTATCGTTCGTTCTCAAAATCCTCTCACAATATCCTATTAAGAATCATCCACTATAGAAGGTTTCGGGAGAATTATAACGAGGGGTATCTGAAAATCCGGATTTCTGATAGAGAAAAAACGGTTTCCCATGTTTCTTGATCATCTCTATCGTGATTGATTCATTATTGGCAGAGAGTCTGTTACGAGGACTAAAAGCTCACCGTTACTTTGCGCGAAATCATATTAAGTAGTCTGGCGAGCACAAAACCACTATTCTAAAGATCTACGATGAGTATTTAAGAAATGAGTAACACGACCCTTGTCGCTGATTTATCGGGAAAGAAATTGATGCTTCGCAGCATCAATATCCATGAATTTAATGAATCGAAAAACAGCAAATGGCAAACAGTCAGCTGAAGTCAACAGAGGCCATCTTCCTTTCAAACTTGGATGGTAATGTTATATTCGCGCATACATCCAACTATAGCCTTTTTTTAATTCGAGCATTATTATTTCCGTGCCAGAGTAGGTATGATGCGTCGTTGGAAACCCATATGGCACTACGACTCAACGGCCATACCTGTATCAAACGTTTAAACACTGGCCAATTAGTATCATGTAATTGGACCCCAGGAAGTTAATTCACAAAATGGGAACAATACGGCCATAGAAACATCCTTCTTCCACCTCGTGGCCCTGCCAATTAGATCAAGCAGTGCATGACATGCCTATTCCCAGTGTAGACTGTGCGAGTTACATGCCGGATAACACTGTCTTTATCTCATGTGGGACCAAACTTTTTTTCTTGATTGCTTCAATCTGGACCCATCATACTCTTCCAGTTGCTTAACCACATTGACAATATGTCTCCTGTCGAAGAAACCGGAGACCTGTTCTCCGTCCTCCCAATGAAGATCCCTGCTACACCTTCATACCCAGAGACCGCGGTTCACGAAGTTCGTTTACGGAAAAATGCACCCAAGATACCTACCGCCAACGATTCACGAAGTCTATTCCTCAAGAACATTCCCGCAGACAGTACAGAACCTCACTTTCGCGCTGTCTTTACTCAACTTGTAGGCGCTGGGCGCTTTGAGGGTATTACCTTCGAAGACGAATCACGGACGCTACTACCTATTGATCCTGCGCAAGCCACAAAAGTTGCAGGGTTTGCGAAAAAGAGAAAACGCGGCGACGTTGAGGCGGAAGAGCGGGAGCGAGAAGAGGAAGCTACGCAATTACCCCAGATCTGGTCGCGGCGCGTACAACGGAGCAGCAGCACAGCAATTGTGCTTCTCGCAGACGAGAAGAGTGTGCAACTAGTCCTCAAGGCTATCGCAAAGCTACAAAAGAGTAAAAAGTATCCTACATGGGGTAGCGATCTCTCCGACGACGTCCCCTCGCTCGGCTCATCGTGGATCGCATCGCATCTGCAACTCTCGCGCGTCGACAAGCCAGCCACCCAAAAGGCTGTTCACGCTTTCTTCACTGCATTCAACCGCAAGGAGAAGGAAGCTGTTGAGCTAGCTAAGCGACTGCGCAATGAGCCAGACGAGGATGGTTTCGTTACAGTGACTCGCGGTGGACGGGCCGCTCCCGCCAGCCGAAACGAGGCTGAGGAAGCTAAGCGCAGAATGATCGAGAGGGATACCAAGAAGAAGTCTGAAACCAAGGATTTCTACCGCTTCCAGATGAGAGAACGACGCAAGGCGGAGCAAATGGCCTTGATGAAGAGATTCCAGGAGGATAAGAGAAAGGTGCAAGCGATGCGGGAGAAGAGGGGGAAATTCCGACCAGAGACATGAGATACTTGATAAAGCTCTATTTCATGTAAGTCATGATGCTCTTTTTGTTTGTCTTCATGATGACGTCGCGGGGCCATCGAACATGATGGGGTAGCGAGGCCTTTGGTCTCCCATCTCGGGTGCCGAAAACAACCGCGTTACAATCTTCTCAAATTTGTCTGAGACAAAGCCACTGTTCCATATTCTGTCAGACTCTATCCGTGAGCCCCACTGACCAGTCAAGCGGTTTCTAGAGCATGTCAAGCTTGGTCTACACAAAGTTCAAAGACATCCATGTTGACGCGCAACTTATACCCGAGTCATGATGGCTTCTCGTATTCTAACCATTACGACTCAACACATGCTGTCATCGCCGCTCGGATCAACACCCTTAAGTCTGAAAAGGGTCCAGGAGATGGAAAATTTGCCATGGGCAATATTCGGGCCTTTGGTTTCTACCACGTTTTAACTCTGTCTCGCCTCGGCCAAGAAGCTATCAAGGCGGGGAGGACCTTGTCGGAAGGAGGAGATAGAAAAATAGAATCAGTGCGGCTTCAGAGCTTGAACCTGTTTCAGACTGAGACTTTGAGTTGACAGTGCATGTGCCAGCAGATGTCTGCTTCAACGTCAAGTTGTCCATGGAAACAATGCACACCACCATTCCTATGACATTTGGCCACTTTCCGACCACATCTTCCCCTCATCCATACCTTGATCAGGCTGTATACTGTAAACATGCCCAATTTCGGCCCATCAGCATTGTCTTCGAGGCTTTCTAGTTTAACAGGTGGAACTGTCGACCCAGACAACGACCCTCACCAGGAACTCCAAAACCCTCACTTTTGGCCCAAAAACAGAAAAACCTTGATCATCTGCATTGCCACCTGTCGAGCGCTGTCTTGTCAAAAGGATGACCCTGGCTGGTCTCTCGTTCAGGCCCGCCTCACTTTTGCAGGGATCTCATTGGCGGACGCATTGTTTACTTTGCTCCCCCACATAGCAACCAGCTCTCCCCACCAAAACAATTAAAGGGACCACAAGCTTGTACACTTATACAGGAGAGATAGTACTAGTACCTTTGCGCAGGAAATTGATGAGAAAAAGTCAATCCCTTGAAGATTCGAGGATATGTGTATCAACTTTGGACTCGCTCACCTGTCACAATGATCGATACCGATAATCTTCGTACAGCATCGCTGTATATCAACAACCAGCTTCTATCTAGAGGTTTACTTCGTGATGGCCAGAGTATCGATTTCGCCGGCGCGGCCTTCAATGGCGATGAAGCTGGAGCCACCATGGGACGGATCGTGAGCGTCCTAAACGATCTAATACTCCGACGAGATGTACGTTAGCTCTCACGTGTCTCGATACAACTAACAGTCACAGCGTGATGCAGAACATCGCGAATCCCTCTCAACCACCATGCGCACCCTACGCGCCGATAACCTCAAACATACCAACGACATCGCGCGACTAACAGAGAAACATACCGAGGCCAAGAGGAAGTTGGACATTGCAGAAGCTTCAGAGGCTGCTCTCAGAACGCAAATGAAGTCGGCAGACGCCGCCATACGCGGTTTAAAGGAAGAAGTCGCCCGTACAAAGGGACTGGTCGCCCAGGCACGAGCTGCGTGCGCAACAGACGTCCGTAGACGAGACCGCCAAATCGATACCTTGAAGAAACAGCTCGCCGAAGCTGGGCGTGCGCGAGGATCCCGAGCGAACCCTGGCGTAACCTCAATCCTCGTCACAGGCGATGTTGGCGAGGAAAAGTCGACAGGTCGCGGAGGCATCACAGCAGCAGATGACTATGATCTGCGCAACGAAACAAATGCATTCTTGGCCAAACTGGCTCAAAATCTTAGTGAAGAAAACGAAGCTATTCTTTCCATAATGCGCAAAACGATGCAGCAACTGCGGGACATGAGTGGGTGGAACAACGAGAACCAGGATAACCTTGTTATCCAGCAGCAAGGGTGGCAGGATATGGCTTCGGAGCTGGACTCTGTGCTGGAACACATGCGAACTATCCTAACGAACCCCTCGTTCGTGCCAATCGAAGAGGTCATGGTTCGAGAAGAGGAAATCAGCCGTCTCAAGGATGGTTGGGTCAAGATGGAAAGCCGCTGGACTGAGGCAGTTCATCTGATCGATGGTTGGCGGAAGCGTATGGCTGCTAATGGACGGCCGATTTGCGACGAAGAGCTTCAGATGGGATTGCGTCTTAGCCCAGTAAGGGTACGAGATGTAGAGGAGACAAGGCACGCATCCGCTCTCAGACTTTCTGCTGTTGCTGAGGAGCCCGAGGATGAGATGGATGTTATCGACTCGCCATGCCCTTCGCGTTGTTCCCCTCGCGTACAACTAGTCCCAGAGTCAGAGCCTGAGGATGAAGTTGACCAGGAAAATGACGTCGAATCCGACTACGACGAAAACATACCAATCGACGACTATGACGTTGAGGAGCCTAATGTGCAGATCCTTCAACAGTCCACAGCGGCTCCCATCTACCACACAGACCCAGACTCATCGCCACTACCAGAGCCTCCCCAGCTCAGCCCCTTGAAAGATTCTGCATCAGCCGGAAACCGTGGCTCTCAACCACGCAAACATGGCAAGGGAGATTTCACCACTATTGTGGAGGAAAACACATGGGACCTTGCTGCAGAAGGAGGCTCCATTCCTCTTAGATATGATCAAGAACCTCGCGATCGCGTGTCATCCTCTTCTTCACTCGATGAGGTCCTCCTTGTCAAGTCACCGGAAACTGCCCCCCAGGTTAACGAGATGAAGATGTCTACTCCCCAACACCAAAGCTCCCACCGCAGTAGCGACGACCAAAGTGAGACCCAAACGTCACCCAACCGTTCCCCTCGTCGAACAGCATCACGTCTCCCCCTCCCACGGAACATCGATCCCGCTCCTCAACAAAGTCCTCTCACTATGGCGACTATTGCCGCCAAATTGGCCGCTTCAGAGCGCGAGGCTGATGCTGCTCGTGTTCGAGCCAAGCTTCGAGCTGCCCGTGGAACTCGTGGGGTCAAGAAGCCAACCATCACTTCATCTCAGCCAGATCAGGCTACCGAATCTACAAACGAAACCGAAAAGAGAAATGATTTTGAGAATGTCGACCCTGTAAAGAGGGATCCAGTACCGACTGATGATCAGCTGAAGCCTCAAAAACGACGCCGTGAACGCCGAATGAGCAAGAGTGTATCGCGACGGAGAAGCACGTTGAGTCCTTGGGAGCTTGAAAGCTTGATGAATGGAAGCGTGCAGTAATGAGAATTTGTCATGATGGGCGGAATCCTGGAAAGCTTACTTGGGCAATATTGGTCTGGCGTTTGGTGCAGAGAAGCGGTGACCCGAGAAGGGATCAAGTTTAATACATTTCTAATGGATGGATTTTATCATACTTCACGCGAGAACGGTCTGCTTGCAAGTTGTGGAAGAAAACTGTAGATTCATATAAACACAGCTCAAATACCCCCTAACAACATGCCTTCGGTCCCTCAAGTCAGGTCCCTCAGCCAGCAAGTGGAAAAGCAAAAGATAGACTGAAGTAAACAACCGACTCCCTGTCCTTGATTCTGGATCGTAAACTCCAATAAAATTTCATAAGTCACCGGCGTGTCCCGTCTGTAAATTACAGAGCAGGCGCCGTAGCAATAAGCACCGACATGACAGCAGCTCCTCCAAGCGCGACATACCCGACCGCTTCTGCCATACGACGAAGACGTTTGGCTGGTGGGGGTCCCAATGCTGCAATGTGGCGAGGTCTTGCACTCGGCTGCCCCTTTCGACGGTGCGCCTCTGGGCGAGATTGGCGGTCGCTGGAAACTTGTTCTTCTTCCGGCGTAAGTTGGGAAATTTCATCGGCCTTTCTCTTGGTTGCTGTGGATTCTGGTACCGGAATCTCCACGGGTTCAGCTGCTTTTGCGGCGACCGGTTTTGCTGGCTCCACGTCTTCGACTGATTTGGCCAGTTCAGGTGCTTCTAAAGCTTCAGCTGGCTGGGCATCACCGTCCTCAGCAGTATCTGCGTCATTCTCTTGGGCCACCACCTTCTCAGTTGTCTCAGTTGTAACTTCGACACCAGAGGACTTCTTGCTCTCTTGAAACGCCCAGGCGGATGAGTCGTCCAACTCTGGCTCGACAGAGGCGGTGATTGTTTCGACGAGCTCAGGGGGCGTTGCCAGATATCTAAGACCGGAAGATACCAACTCGGAAGCGCGAGGTTCAATTTCATCTGTGGGCGACTGGAGTTCATCTTCTATGTGCACAGGGATTTTGTTTTCCATCCCTGCCCGCGAGAGATAGAGTTCCTGGACTGGTTCCCGACGGACGGGGTCCATGGGTCGAGCTTGGGGTTGTGCGCGGGCAGCTGCAGCATTGGCTTCCCTAGCAGCAAAGAACTCGTACTTTCCATGCTTCCTGCCTACAACCTCAGCAGTAGAGTGTGTGATCGTCTCATGGTTGTATTTGTCGAAGACAGCTTCTGAAATCGGGGGAAGCTTCAGGGACGACGTGCCATTAATCGACATCATTGGAGCAAGGTCTGATTTCCATGTATAGTGGCTCTTGTCCAGCTGGGTGAAGTTGACACTATCAAGTTGTTGAGGAGCATCCCGGGTCTGGGTGCTCACAGGGTTGGCCAAGGGCTGCGCATGGGTCTTCTCGGGGCTCATCACAGATGCCATGATAGTAGCCTCGTCAATGTGACCGTTCTCTTGAGGAGCAGGTTCCTGATTGTGGACTGGAAAATGGTCAAAATGGTCTAGAGCACTGTACCCCATGAACATACCTTGCTCTTCTTCAAACTCGTCATGCTCTGCGAAGTCTTCTTCTTCATCGACAATAGAGTCCCCTGCGACGGATGACATTGCATAGTCGACACTCTGGCAATCTTCTGAAATGCCACCATCAGAGTCATCTGTGTCCATAGAGTTTCGTGACAAGTCGTTTTCCGCTTCTTCAGGCTCTTCCTCCAGATCAGAAAACTCGTGGCCCATGACAGAAACAGGCTCTGGCAGCTTGCGGGGAGGTATCTCTAGAATATGAGGACAGTTGTCAAAAGTCTCAGTTCCATTTCTGACATTGGAAAGAGGACATTGATCATCCATTGTCAAGTCGATCGGACCAAGACCAAAAGATGAAGTAGCCATTCTAGCAGGGACAAATTTGTGTGTGCGCAATATCTCGTAGCTATTGTTCACTTGGTCTTCGTCACTGATTAGAGATTCGATGTCGCTATCTTCAGGAACGCGGAAGCTATTGCCGCGCAATTCGGGGCTGGGATAATTAGCAAAAAGACAGGAGACATTGAAAGACGACATACTTGATGGAGCCGTATGTCTGACGGACTATCATAGCGCAAGGGTAGTGTTTATCCTGGGGTCGTTCAATGAAAGCACCAAATTTGAGCTTGTCACCACTGGTCACTTCATGGTTCACGTTCGTTTCGAGGCGGACGTCGTTTTTATAGGTCCCATGGAGAGAACCCGTGTCCTTGATATAAAGTTTCTAAGTGAACAGTTAACACAGGGTTACTGGAGAGTTTGCCTCCATAAAGCTTACCTGTTTGTCGGCGTCAAGGGTGAAGAGTGCATGTTTTCGAGACATGACTGGTGAATCGAACCAAGTATTGCTCTTGGCAGCTTCAAAGGCTCCATTTCTTTTGCTAGTTCGGCCGACCTCGATGGTCGGATTCTTTTTACTCAGAAAGATGCGGCGAGTTGGATATGAGAAGCTGGGCGGCGGGTCGGCGATGGAGAGAGTGATGGCGACTATAAATGTTAGTTATCATCGAGGTTCAGGGAGTATGTTTATTCTGTTGTTTGGGCATCGCCTTACCTTCATCGCGATACTCGGGTACCGCCATTTTGATTGCTTGTTGATGACAAAATGACGAGCTCGAGTGAAGATGATAGTGTTTGGTGATTCCTTTGGTTAGTGGTGCACACTGTCTCATATACCTGCGCTGGGCCCACTTCTTGAGGAAGGATGTCAGCAGGGCAAACGCAGACTCGAAAGAGTGCGAGTTAACGAAGGAAGAAAGAACAAGCCTATTAAATAGGGCTACCCTTTTGGTTCGAGAGGAAGGTTGAAAGATAAAAGTTAAAGGTAACACAGATGAAAGGTAAGTGGTGTTGGGAAGCCCGGAAGGTGAATGCAGGCTTGTAAGTACCTTAGCTCCGATAAGTGGCGGGGCTTATCGCTGCCTGCCTTGTGGGCTGCTGTCACCTGTCCCGTCTGCTGTTACGGCAGTGGCCTTGCACTGCTGCCCCACTTCGCGGGGTGAAAGGAACCCCGCCGGAACCTTCAGTGTGGGCTTACCTGGTAGGTGATCGTGAGTAAGTTGCTCACAATAAAACTCAGAAAGATATAGAATTCCTTCAAGAATCTTTGGGTATCCTTCAGGTAGAACAAGGTATCACAGCTGATGGTGAAGCAGTATTATCAGTTTCAGGGTCTGGGTTGGATCTAGTGCTCTTAGGTTGGTGTTAATGGCAGCTGTTTCAAGTGGGTCGCACTGTACACTGCCGAAACACCCTGGACCTGAGTATCGAAGCAACTGTTGTGATGAGACACCACTTCACCAGCTTATTGAACTACTGATTTCCTTCAAGCAAAGCTGCCGGCCCTCGAAGAAGCTCGTAACCAAATAAAACCCAGTGTAAAGGCAGAAAATCGGACCGATGGGAAGATGGCTTGAGTGAAGAGGTCATGGATAAATAGTGCAAGAGTTAATTTGAACTGTGTAAATTAGGCGGACTGCTTTGCTAACCACTTCGCTTGGCACCCTACCCTATGGCCTTATCATGCTAGGGGAATGCCAGAAAACTTGAGGCCATTATCCTGAGTAAATGGAAACACTGAAGAAAGTTTAGTTTATATTAATAGGTCTTTAGACTACTTGTTTTTGGCACCATCATCTTCACTCGAGAGTCCGCGTCTTCTTTATCGGGTACGTACGCGCAATCAAATGGTGGTACCCAAGCATCGTAATGAAGGTACTCGTATCAGGGTCATGCAAGTGGTTGAGCTGGCACGGTGACTAGCATTTTAACTCACTGCCTAAAAAATAGCAACATGGCGTCAGGTGAGAATCTTTCCATTGGTACCAGCGCTATCAGCAGTGGTCGATACGGCGGGTGTGAGTTGGCTTCCAACGCATAAATGTCAGCTTGGTTTTGTTTCAACCCTCCTGGAAAAAATATCAATAGATAGTACATTATGAAGCTTGGACTTCAGCTACCAGGTGCTCGTAAATGAGAAACAGGCAAGGAAGGATAGAACTCTCCGTGGTTCAGCCAGCCAAGGCAGCAGTAAGGTAGTTGCACAAAGCGATGTTCTCTATCTCGTCTGTGATACTCAATTTATATCAGTGATGAGCTTCATTATCAGATCTATTACAATCTAGCCCTACCTATTGCATCTCCATACGAGCTCAGTCAAGCCTCGGTTTATGTGATGCCGCCTCTGCCTAACCCACTGGCACGGGTATCAGTATATCAAATGATTGGCGCTTACTAATATTAAGTGAAACTCTTCGGTTGGTTTCTCGTTTGTCAGATTTCACATTCGCTTTTCCTAACCACATTTGACGTCGGAGGAAGCTGGATCCTTTCATCGCACTACTTCTTAAGTAGCGAAATTATATTCAGAAGTTTGAACTCAAAGCGTGATTCGACATTGCTCAAGCACCAAGAAAATACTCTGATTAAGATACCAATCAGCAAGGGACTAAGCGAGTTAGATCGATGACGCTGACCGAGACAAGGATTCAAGTGGAGAATAGCTAAGCGGGTGAGTGGGATGTTAGCATCCATTCCTTGTCCCTTTTCTGGGGAGGCTACCCACTATGTTGTCATTTGAAGTATTGGAACAAACATGTGATATATACTTCAGACCTCATGAACTATTGACAAGAATGCATGAGATTCCTCAGATGGGAGGTAAGGTAGTACCCAGAAGCATCTAGCATGTAGCTCCAAGTAATATTCAAGCCTCTGAGTCACAAACCCCTTAACCGTTGGCTTGCACCTGCATGTTCAAGGCACTTTAAGCTTCACGGCTAATGATTTGCCACTTAAAGTGCTGGAATTTCTCAGCGGCGCCTGATCCATGTTCCACTCAGACTGTTCCACTGTCCACAGGGCTGCTCATACTTCTGGTGCCACGCCACAACCCGGTTCTCGCTGGCTTTAAACAAATAGGTATTTATCGCCGTTCGTCCACTTCCTTCTCTCCTCTTCCCTTACTTTGCTCAAATCCAGGTGC